AATGCAGCATAATAAGTAAATGATAAAAATTTCAAAATGATTGCACTGCTTTAAAGCCCTTTGACCTTTAATAATGTGTGGATGCACCCTGATGTGCTACGCATTCTCCAACGCGCGTAGGCATGCTTCTGATCAGATGGTCAATGTCCTCCTGTGGTATCTCATTCCAGGCAACCACGAACTCCTCTCCAAGTGCTTATAGAGTCTGAGGAGGACGTTGCAAATTGAGCAATCTCCTACCCATCATATCACACACGTGCTCAATTGGGGATAAGTCGGGAGATCTTGGTGGCCATGGTAACAATGTGACATCATTATGTTGAAAGAAGTCTATTGTGACTCTTGCAACATGTGGTCGGGCATTATCTTGTTGGAAAGTTGGATCTGCCAGGGTGTCAAGATAAGGTAAAAGATGAGGTTCTAGAACTTCGTGGATATAATGCTGCGCGTTCATGTTACCTCTGATGAAGGTTAAAGGTGACCTGGAACCATAAGCTATAGCAAACCAACCATAACTCCAACAGTGTGATGAACATGTCTTTCAACAAAAAACTGTGGAATCCCCCTTTCACCACGTCGCCTTCTAACCCTGGCACGACCATCGTGCATGCCTAAACAAAATCGAGACTCGTCACTAAAGACAATACTGTTCCATTCCTGATCCTAGAGTGGCCATTGTCTGCACCACTCAAGGCGATTACGTCGGTGTTCTTGAGTTAAAGGGAGGACCCAGTGTGGCCGGTATGAAAACAAGACAAAACTTCTCATTCGTCGGTAAACACTTCGCATGTCAATAGGTCTTCCGTGTTCTGCAAACCATTCATTTGCAATAGACCTGGTAGTGGAGAAACGGTCCCTTAAGGCCAATAATCTTAGGCGGCGATCTTCACGGTCTGTTGTTCTACGGCGGCGTCCAGTGCCCCTTGCTCTTTGCGTACGGCCTTCTCGAAGCCATGCCTGACAACACCTAACCACAGTGTCTACACTTCTTTGCACTCTAACTGCAATTGCCCGAAAAGAAAGTCCAGCTTCCCGAAGTCCCACTATACGGCCCCTATCAAACTCACTAAGTTGACGAAATCGTACAGGTCTCCGTACTCCAGGCATCGTAACCGATCGTAAAGGATGTCAAGAACCAAAATCCGCCAACGTTGATTCTTTACTGCGGCTGAAATATTCATTTTTAGAGCGTTAGTGAATTAAAAAAAAGCAGTATTAAAACCGGAATGTCCAACTGATAAGGCTGAAAATTTTTTCACTTGTTATTTACAGTAAGATAAATACATTCACCAACTTTTATTAAAATAAAACCATTTACACTGGGTGTTCGGATTTATATGTCACTTAGTATAGATACATTTCCCAGCATCTCTGAATGACCGTCCGCTTTGGTAAAGCAGATAACTGTTGCCCACTATATTAGCGTCTAGTCCTTCGGAAGAGCTCTATCAGCTTTGACATACCATGCAAAACAAGAGGCTAAATATGGTTTTTTACACTATCAGGATCCCAAAGAGGTTTTGTCAATCCAATTTTTGAAGTGCCTAAGGTTAGTAGTAGAACTGGGAAAAGCTTTCTCTTGTAGATGTTTCCACAATCTCGACACCCTCGGGACAAAGGCGTGGTCGTATGGGCCAGTTCAAAGTCAGGCGGGTCTGCCTGGCAACGCCCCCCGATGCGAGAGCATCTGGAGACTGTCCGTTAGAGAAGAGTCACCCCTAACGGTTGAGCAATACTCGAGGCTAGGTCTTATCTAGAACTTATATAGAGTGAGGTCATGCGGAGAAAAGTACTTCTTAGCACTAAACAGATAGCTTTTTCCCAACAGCTGCTGCTATTGACGAGACGTGTTGGTACCAAATCAAGTCCTCGGTGATCTGGAACCCGACCAGCAGAAATGAAATTTTCAATTTTCTGAAAAGGTGCCTGATCCGTAAGATATCTGTTTGCATTTCATCTCTGTGACCTTATTCATCTGTATGCAACGTTATATTTCATGGTTCTTAGTCATCATCGGTACGGTATAGGTCTAGTCATTGCAGACAGTCAAGGGAAAGTGAACAAGCAAATATTACATATACTGAGCGACAAAAAAGGTAAACACCTACGTATCTTTATTAGAATTCAAGAATTTTTTGCATATCGATTTATTTTGCCATGAACAACAAGTGATAAAATGGTCAGGTTTTTCTGCTAAGTTTTTGTGGTGGCTGCGTGTATTGTTTGGTGATAAAGGAGGATTCAGTTGTCGTACATTTAGCGTATCAGTTAAATGTTAAATTTCGTATAGCTTATTGAGAAGCATTTTTGTGGTTGCTCAAAATGCCTAGGGTGCCTGGGTTGATTCGTCGGGTGTCCCAGCTAAGTGACTTTGAGAGTGGTCGAATCGTAGATCCTCAACACATTATTGAGCCAGCTTCTGCAGTCAGTTGACGAATCAAGCTAAACATTTAATCATTATACTACTAAGGGACACTGAACATATATGCCAAAAATTATTAAAATCGGACAAAGATACCTAGGTGCTAAGCTTTTTTTGTCACTCAGTATTCATTTACTGTAACCAGTTGCTCATTTTTTTAATAAAATCACAGATTAATTGCATTCGACCCCCAGAACGTAAAGACATACCAATAAGGTCGTGAAATAAGAATCATCCTGTAATATAACTCATACCGCTGCGGTCGTAGGTGATCGCACGTATACGCCAAACCGGTAAATTCACCGCTTTGGCCGGAGTTGAATTCGGCTAAGATATTTTATGGAAACGCATTACTTCCAGCAGCAAGAATTACCCCCGTTTCAAATAAAACTCGCCCCAGGAATTTGAGGTTTAGGGATGAAAGCTTCGCACGAGCCGACTACATATTTTATGAATGTGTTATGCGGTTACATGACGTCTAAATTAAATGTTCGTGGTACGCGTAGTGAAATATCCCATAAAAGCTATCTGCTTTGGGTTTTAGCGTGGCTTTGTGGGGTTTATGAATGTCGAGGTCGAGTTAAACATTATGTTTTAGCACAATGAAGGTAGGATCTTTTTGGACAAAAAAAAACAAGGTTATTTTCTCCATACGTATAAAGGCCTTGTTAGTTTCCTTTTATGGTCTACTAAAAATTATCTATATCCTGATACAACGTTTCTTATTTAGAGCAATCATTTTATAACAGTTCTTAAAAACATGGAATTTTACTTTTATAACAAAACACTTCTCTTGGACTAATTATTCTATGGTGGAAAATCGTACTCTGCTCTCCATCTCGTTAAAGGTCATTTTTAATAATTCCCGTTGACATAAATACGACAACTGGACGTGACTTGGTCCTGTTTTTTCATGTGCTGTCTTGTAGCAGTTCAGCGTACACAACCCGATTTAGTGAAATCATTTCGCACCCAGTACTGGGATTTTTCGAGTTGCGCAGGCTTTGATTGAAATCGGCCTCCTTCGGTGAATTTTGTTGTCGGGGCCCACGTTAGGCGCCAGTGCTATCCCGTGGAAATATAGTTAAATTCTTTTACCAAATTAAGTTATGCCGTAATTTTACATACTTTTGTAGTCTCTCACCTCACGAATTGACGTAACTGTATATCAGTTCGGTGCCTGCTAAAAAATTGCGTAAGTCATAAAATTCCGAAAACAATTTTCACGTACCGGCTTAAATAGATGTTCGCCTCTGCCCTAAAACTAGTTTTTTGTATTTGACCGATAATTACACAGCACGTACCGGCGCATGTGTCTCTAATAATATGTAAACATAACCTATAAATATTGCTGTGTTGTTGTGAATGCCGACTTGAACAAAATTTTAAGGAACTACGGATGTTAGCGGTAAATGAGAGTGAACTAGGAAATAAAATAAAATGGATAGACGTGATGGAAATAATGGTAAAACAGGATGAACCCATGACCCTATTTTTTAAGACTTAAATCCTTCATTATGATATGTTCGTATTGAAACAGGCATAAGTAACTCGCTGTTAAAGCCTTTGAATGAAGGACTTGCTAAGATATCGAAGAAAAAATATGAGGATCTTATATCTTTATGCAAAGGAGAAACTCCAGCTATCCGTATTTCTCAATTACAACAATTTTATTAATATCTGCCCCATGAAGACTAAACAACCAGTTCACCTTTTAAAAATAATTTAATGGTTGAACACTGTCAGTATTTTCATAATTCAATTTGTGTTTTAGGTTAAACTTCGTCTAGGATTTACTTTTTGTTTGTACTTATTATGTAGAGAATAGAAGAGTTTCTATTTTTGAAACAGTATTTTCGATACTTTGTTACCCATGTCCAGTTTCAAATTGTTGGCGTAACTACACAATAAAAGAAACAAGAGTCGTCACGAAGTGGCATAAAAGTACAAAACATGTTTTTTTAAACACATTTTACTTTTACAAAATTAAACCATCCCAAAACAAAGTTCTACATAATTGTAGTCTAACAAAAAAACAGCAACGTGCAGACTAAAAAATCAGTATGTCATCTTCAACCTTATTTATTGCTGATCTTCGTCTTCTAGCTCTCCTGTAAAATTTGTAAAATGTTAGTTACGCCGGTACGTACGCCAGATCAAACGCTACGTTGCTAGTCTCATAACTTAACTTACAGACCTCGTATATGCTACACGAGCTTGCACAGCTCTTCAGAAGCGAAGTTTGTCTTTGAGAGACGCCGGAAGACCGTGGGGATCGGTAGTACCGAGACTAGCGAACTTTATTTTTCGCTCAATAAATTAAAACATAACCGAGAGATGTCCTCATAATAATGCCCTGCTCACCCGACTGCGAATAACGACAACGTTGTCATTCCATCAGCCTGTTACGAGTTGCCGGCATTAGTTAAATGAGCAATTAACTATGGTCCTCCATTTCCTTATGAAACGCTTAAAACCATTAAGCCTTTTGGATTGTGACTCCCACCATGAATTTCATGGGATGGGGTGATTATCATGCTTAATTGATTAGCGCCATTTCGAATTGATTGAGGTGACTATGGACAAAAACAGGGACGTTCTGCAAGACAGAACGGCAGTGAGGACAGATGATTCTGTATCTCCTGTAAAAAAGGGAACTCCAATCCTAAAGTAGGTAACTGGCTTCACACAATCACTTATACCTAAATCTGGAGGAAACGCACCTAACGCCATAAATAGTAGGGGAGAAGTGGCATGAAAGAGCTAGGTTTTGAAAGAGCCACTTGCATTATTTCGGTGGTTTAGGAACGAATTTGGTGGGTGATCTTATTTTAAGGTGGCAGCACTGATTTCCCGCCACCCACAAACATTTGACAGTTGGCTAGTGATAACAGGCGGCGGTACATCGAGTCAAAATTTTTGGCATCCAAAAGTAAGTATTTTGCTCTATCTAAGCAGTTTTTTGGCATTTTGTTGTAAACAAATATAAGTATGTGGATTGTAGATTCAGTTTGTGCATATAATTGGTCTTGCAACTGCGTAAACACTAAGCGGCAAAAGGTTTTATATTGCTGTTATTTTGAAGGTTATATATTTTTTACCAATAAGTTATGAAAGAGCCAGGTGCATAGGCCTTAAAAGAGCTGGCTCTTTCATAACCGGCTCTTTTATAACCCTATATTTAAGTTTTAGTAATAAATTATTATAATAATAAATATGCATTTTTATATATTATTAAATTATTTGCTTCAGATACTGCATTATGGAGAAGGCTGGCTCAAAAAAACGAAAAAGACCCGAAAAATCGGTAATTGAAGAAGCAGTCAGTGAAGTTTTGGAGAAAGGTCAGTCCATAAACAGAACTGCACTTGCCTTAAACATATCGAGGGCTTACTTAGCTAAAATCGTTAAAAAAGTAAAGACGTCTGGCGATTCATCATATGAACACTGTCCCAATATAGGCGTATTTTCACAACAGAACAGGAGAATATGCTTGCAGATTATTTAAAGACCGCATCTAAAATGTGCCATGGCCTAACAAGACATCAAGCAAAGAAGCTAGGATTTGATTATGCCGTAGCCAATGATATCTGTCCACCCAAATGGAAGTTGAAACTGCGACTGATGATTGGCTCAAAGGGTTTATGAGCAGACACAAAGACTTAACTGTGAGAAAACCTGAAAGCACTTCTCTATCCCGTGCAACATGTTTTAATAAAGCTAATGTAAGCACATTTTTTGAGAAATTAAACACTGTTTTACAAAGATACAAATTTCCTCCTCATAGGATTTTTAACGCCGATGAAACAGGCTGCAGCACCGTCACCAATCCTCCTAAGGTCATAGCTGAAAGGGGTTCGAAACAAATTGGGCAACATTGGTGACAACTCTGTTCTTTATTAATACTGCTGGTGGTTTTTTGCCGCCCGTTTTTGTGTTTCCTAGAGTAAACTATAAAGATATTATGTTAAATAATGGTCCGCCAGGAGCCCTAGGATTGGCTCAAGTTTCTGGATGGATGACTGAAGACTGTTTTGTGAAAGCGCTTGAACACTTTGTAATACATGTCAGGCCATCAAAAGAGAATCCAGCATTGATATTAATGGATAATCACACCTCTCACGTAAATCTCAGAGTGGTTGAATTTGCCAGACAAAACTCCATCATAATAGTTACATTCCCACAACACTGCAGTCATAAACTGCAACCACTAGATATCACAGTATATGGGCCTTTCAAAACTAGGTACCGCACTGCCATGAATGAATGGATGTTGACGAACCCTGGAAAAACAGTTACTATTTATCAAATTGGGCAATTTGTAAAAGAAGCATATTTGCCAGCTTTCAGTCCACAGAATATAACACAAGGATTTTTGAAAACAGGAATATATCCATTAAATTCTAATATATTTAGTGAAGAAGCATTTTTATCTTCATATGTGACTGATAGACTTGATCCGCAGTCAAACAATGGTTTGAACTTGTATAAGGAAAGTATGGAAATAAACTTAAAACAACTTCTCCATCTTCTACAAAATCGCTTGAAGCTGGCGAAGAAAATGAGCTTCTAATAGATCAGAATATCAGACTCTCTCACCGTTCAACCTCCACCCCCACGGCTGCAAATCCGAGTCAACGAATTATATCACCGGAGATGATAAGACCATTTTCTAAAGCGGGGCCAAGACAAAACACGAAACGAAATAATAGAAAAATGTCATCTGCTATCGTAACCGACTCTCCCGAAAGGAAAAAAATAGAGGAGAAAGAGTATAGTGCAAAAGTTACTGTTAAGAAAATGACTACAAAAGACTCCATAAAAACGCGTAAAACAAAATCAGAAATAAATAAAGAAAATTCCGTTCTGCAAGATGACTCTGATTCGTCTGACTCTATCTAAATAAACCCAAAGACAAATAACAATAGTGATGATTGTGTAGTTTGCAGCAAAACATATAAAGACAGTGATCAAGATTGGTTTCAGTGCAAAATTTGTCCTGGTTGGGCTCATGAATGCTGTGGTATTAAGGGGAACCTTAATTTCTTTTGCAAAACATGTTTCTAATTTGAAGAATACGCATTACATTCTGTTCTGATAGATTTAACGATTTTGTTTTTGATAAAAGATATTATTTGTTGTTTTATTTAATTTCAACACTGTTATTGATAAAAAATAATCCGCCTCTAATATCTTAAGTTTATATTTATTATAAAATATCATTAGTTTTCAAAAAGAATTTGTTAGAATTGTCTTTTCATTTGTTTTTTAATAGTGTATACTTATTAGTTTGTATAATTTTCACAATTTCAAGTTATAATACAAGCTGGCCCTTTCATTACTTTTAGTGGCTCTTTCAATACCGAAATGTTATGAAAGAGCCAAATGACACATTTTTAAAAAACGTGTATTTCATTGGTTTTATATACCGTATTTTAGATTTTTTGTATGAAATATATACTTTAATAAATAAATAGTAGTTTGACTAAAAAAATAATCATTTCATTCATTAAAAGTATATTTTTTGGCTACGTCTATAAAACTGGCTCTTTCATGCCACTACTCCCCTACATAATGGTGTTTCTTTGAAGTATAGGAATAGCGTTAAGTCTCAAAAACTAAACTTTAGGGTCACTGTGATCGCCTAGTGTCACATTTAAACACCATTTCCAGCATGTTTAGGGATTTGAATCTTTTAAAGATAGTTGATTTACATGCTTGCTGAATCTTGAATTAGATATGGAATCCGCTTTTGAGATTCCTTATTGGTAGCTCAAGGCATCTTCGTAGCCCAAAAAAGACGTATACAAACAATTGCTTGTACCCATAAAACTTTTTGAGAAATGTTAAATAGTAAAAGTACCTGGTATCGTAGTATAAGAACTTTTAGTATAAGTATATTTGGATACAAATGTATTTACCATGAACAGAGATCTACATACGAAAACTGCAAGGCAGCGGAACAATGTACAAGTATATCCAAAGTTCTCAGAATATGTCAAAGGCAACAATTCACCCAATATGGTCAACCAAAAAATGTTCGACAATTACAAAGTATTACAAGTGCTTCAGTGGTCATTTAAACGAGTTTTTATTAACAAATGATTGAACTGCGTGAATGACTTTATCCCCAATCTAGTATCACTTATGGATTTTACGTCCATTTTTAATCTGCACTTCACTATTTACATTATAAATTCCCTTGTAAGTGGATTTCAGCTTTATTTTGTGTGTGTATCTATATTTTATTAATTTCGTTTGATATAATGAGTATATTTTATCTAGGTATACAGATACTTGTTTGTACTAATAACAAATCATACACAAAGGCCTGTTTGTATGATAAATAATAAATTGTCAGCTTTGTACTGTAGCTTTAGAAAACAAGAAAAATATAGAAATTTGAAAATTTCGATCGTCAGTTGTTTGTGAATGTATACCGATTATTCGCTGTGCGACTATATTAATTCGTAACAGCTGTTTGAACTACTGCTGCAAAAGTTTGTTTGAACAGGAACCCGTGCATCTGTTTGTGTGGTAACCAGTCGAGAGACAGCTGCATATCTCTGAAACTTGGGATATTGATTACACGAGTAACTGTGAGCTGTCCAGCTTCTATTGTTTTTTATTAACTGTTACGCTTATGGACGGCAAGAGAACTGAACGGCTATGAAGAGCGGCATAATTTAAAACAGATGAGACCGTTGTTTATTTTTTGCTTTACTCGTACGAATTCTTCCTGTCATGAGATACCAATCAGCCTCCTGAACTATCTTAATCTCTCAATTTCTGGTTTCGATCACGGACTCCATTTTAGAAATATAATGATCAATAATGTATTTCCAAAAAATTCTAAAACTTATGAAACTATAGGTTGCTTTAGTACCAATTTTCTGTACTTCTGATGTATCTTGTAGCAATGGTAATATTATTTTTATTTACCACTTTCCAAGATTTGCAAAAACTTAAAGGTTTCTACAATAACAAACAACATACAAACATATGTATTTATTGCTTTTACGATGATCACCAAACGCTTTCACTAATATAGATTCTCTAAAAAACTATAAATATCCAACAGCTTTATAACATCACCCGTTTTGAATTGAATTATCTTAGATACCCCTCAATGTCGGGGGTCATGACAATAGGACAATAGATTTTTTTGCTGTTTTGATAATTTACAATGCAATTTAACACTTATTAAGCTGTTTCGCCCTGGGCACAGAATATTTAAGTTTGGCACCCTTTTTGTTTCTCGAAGAGCATTCTAAAGAACACATCTGCATCCTCCGACATTCTTCCTTGTGTGCAAAACCAACTAGGTTGTAAGCTATTAGATGGTACGCTCGAGATATCATCCTCCTTGATGCTCTCCTCTACCATCTCGCTAAAGCACTTTTCCAGAGTAAATTGAATCACATACGATACACAAACTGCTTTTGGCAGATGGTATTGCTTTCACTTGAGAAGCAGTGGAATCCCACAAAACCCGCTTTACTTTAATGCCGAAAAACATATATTTGAGTAATTCGCCCTAATGGACCCTAATCAACTACTTTGAAATATAATCCCTTTTTCCTGAAGGGGGAATCGCTTGTGTACACGGTTAAAGGAGTTACTTTCTAGGTGCTGTCTTAGCAACTACCCTTACATTTTAATTAAAGTAACGACAGTTTTCTCTGGCACACTTCGTTTATACACGTTTAAAGTAAGGAGCTAGTTTATTCAATAATCAGTTACCAGTAGAGGGCTTATGGAGTAGTACAGCTGCATCGCCACTGGATAGATTTTGAAAAAACTATAACGATTATTTTTCGTCCTTGGCATAGTACTAGCCTTGAGTGTAAATTTCAATAACATCCGACTGGTACTTTCCAAGTTATAGCGGCATTAAGCGGACAGACAGATGGAAATGAGTGATATAACAGCTGATTTGATTTTCGCGATTAGAATCCTCCTCCCTAGCCAGTGGAATGGGAAGTGAACATCATTAATGATCTGATAGAAATAAAGTACTTCTCCATCGCGTTTTTATGTTCTCTGAAGTGATTCAGTTGGAGCAACAGAGTTGCGAGCCTTCCAGGAAAGCTGCAGATGATACAATAAGTGTGACAAGCAAGTTAATAGCGTAGAAGTGATTGTCAAACTCAAGAAATATATTTTCGTACGTATTCCTAGAGATCCTAAGACCTCTAAGATAAGGATATACAATACGATAATCGTGCCAACTCTTCTGTATGGATTGAAAAGCTGAGCAATTAGGAAACAAGTTGAAGAAGCCTTAGGTGGCAGAGAATATTTGGAGGAGCCAAAGTGGATGGAGGGTATGTTAGGAGGTGAAAGTATATCATTTAAACGAACCAAATATATTTGAAGCATCTAGGCCCAGAAGATTGCAGTGGCTGGGACAACTGGAAAGAAGGTCGAAAGAAAGGACATATAGCATGGAAAGTTCTTGATACCAAGAAGAAAAGAGGGAGACCAAGATGATGATGGAAGGATGCGGCTATGGAAGATTTCAGATTTAGGAAATATCAGAGTCTGGAAGAAATGGTCATTAGACAAGAAGTGGTAAAATAAACTCATTGAGCTAAAGTCAACCAGCCAAGCCAAGCAAAAGAAATCAGGCCCTACGTTGGGCGCCTATTGTTTATAACCGTCCTTCCTATGCTTTCCCAGAAAACATGATAGATCGCAAATGTACTATTCTTGCCGTGCTTACACGTAAAAGATCCCATAACTATCTTTCGGTAACCTTAAAATTTCCTAAATTTTATTACGCAAAAAATTCATTACATTTTTGATAAAAACCTATGGACTAAATACATGAAAAAAGATCAATTTTCGGCAAATAAGTTGTACAATGGAACGAGAACAAATTATAAGTTATCTTTGTAACTTTCTTACCATTGGGAACGATGGAAGTCATAGACCCTGGATCAGGGCTTGGTGTATAGGTGCATATCCATGAGTTAAAGTAAGGCTGGAGTTCGTATCTTTAATAAGGCTCAAATAAAGGTCCAAAGAGGGATGTAAAAAGGGTAAGCCACAGGCTAGAGGCCATAAAAACACTTGGCTCAAGGCCAAGAGTCATCCATAGAGTAAGGTCCAAGAAAGGAGATCCAAAAATAGGAGCGTGATGGACAAAAATAATTGAACAAAAAGAAAATAATGAGCTAGCAAAACGATTGAATAATGTTATGGTTTGTAGGAGTCTCAAATGCTCCTGTGGATTCCTTGAAAAAAATGTAAAATTTCATCAGCAATTATTACTGAAAACAATATATGAAAAATGTATGCATATTATATAGAAATAAAATCGTCTTCTAGATTCATTTGTAGCATAATCTTAACAAAATCATCAAAGATGGTTAGGATATTTGCAACTCAGATCTCCTACTAAAAAAGTTCGTGAAAATGAATAGTGAATCAGAACAAATATATACAGAATAAAAGCAAATGAAGAATATAAGCCCTGTTCGTACAGCTGTCGCCAGCCTGTCAGTGATCGTGTCCAAGGTCCGGCCACTTAAATTCCATTATTTCTGCTAGGCCCTTGATATCACGAAAGCGTTCGATCGGCTGTGGCTGGCTTCCCTCATATGCAAACTTCCATCCTATGGCCTCCCAGAGAAGCTTTGCATTGCAAAATATCTGTCGTAATTGAGGGGCTCTCCTCTTCATGCCACAATGCCAACGCGGGTGTTCCCCAGAGATCGGTCTTGACTCCGACACTGTTCCTCTTACATATCAACGACCTCTTTCATGTACGATCAATCCAATCCACAGCTTTGTTGATGGCAGCACTCTACATACAAAATACTGTGGCTTGGGGAACTAAAGTGGTGCTCATCCGATTTCGATGGATAGCCGAGTTCTACCAAAGACCGATAACTTTT